AACATGGTTAAAGAACTATATGCGGTATATTTCATATATTTGCCCCCACAAAAAGTCAAATTTTGAAAACTCCCTGAAATGTGCTGAATTCAATAAATTGTATGAGAAATATAAATTAACAGATAATATTAAAGTGTCAAAGCAGTGTATTCACAATTTTTGTTTTTATGACGTCACAAACTAGTCCGATTTTATATCCCTTTTCAAAAAGAGGACAAAATGGACAAAATTTCAACAATTTTAGCTTTAAAATTTATAGAGCGCAAGTTTGTTCAGGAACAATATTGACATATTTCATTGATATTATCATTCTACACATTATATCAAAATATTGATCCTGAACACACATGCGCTCGGTGACTTTTACTCAAAATATCGACGAAATATGTACATTTTTCTGTAAAATTCATAAAAAAAAACTGGAATTTACGTCATGTTTGTGATGTTATTACGTACATATAGCGTCATTACTTATGAAAATATTCAGTGCTTTGAAGTCAGCATATACTTCCCTGTCTAAGAACTTAATTAAATATATCTCCATCAAAGTTTGATTTTGGGGGCAAATATTGGTTACTACCGAATAAAATTCTTTCAAAAGGCTCATATTGCTTATATAATTAGAAGAAAAGGAAATAAATATGTTTTTGTACTATAGTATTATTATTTTTTCTTACTCAGTGTTGTTGTTTATTTAAAAATTATTTGTCTTTTAATGTTACTTTTTTCTGTTTTGTATTTTTGTATTTTCTTTGTTCTTTGCACTTTTTTTTTGTTTCTTTGTTTTGTTGTTTGTTTGCACTCTTATTTTCTTGTGATTATATTGTATAGCGAGAATACATACTTAGAAATAATTCTTCTGTATAATTTTATTCATTTTTTCCTACGTTTTCCCCTTTCTAGTTATAAAATAACAAATGAAAGTAATGCAACTTATTAGGAATTATTCCATAGTAAATCATTGTCAATTCCTTACATTTGTAACCTTGACCTTGGAGAGGGCGTATATATCCCATGCCTGATGTCTAATTCAAATAATTATGTGATCTGACATAATACCGTAAATCTGGAAATTTTTACGTCGATTTTATTTTGCGAATTCGGGTCAAAATGCTGTTGATTAATTTTTACGTTTCAAAATTTTGCGAATGACCACTGCTTTGTTTACATTTTCTTATTGGTGATTTATTTTTAAGAAAAATATTTTTGCGAATGTACTGAACTCGCAAATTTGCTAAAAATTTATCTACAGCATAAATTTCCAGATTTACTGTAGAATATTGATTGAATTAAATTAATTTCATTAGAAAAAAGAGATCTAGAGTGCCTAGTATCCAAAACTTTACTGATATTGTTTTATTTTTATTCTATACCTATATTGTTACGTGTATTGCTCAATTTTAATGTTGATTTTACGTTATCACGTTACGTCATGATCCGAATTTCCGTACGCAGTACAGTTAAGGTGCACAATGAAATATCGACAAAATTTGCAATTGAAAATGTATTCAGAATCGGAATGCCTAATATTAGAGAGGTTTAGCAAACCAACGTGTACGCGTACGTGTACGTGTAGCACCAGAAATCTGTGCATTACGTCATCACTTTTGCTAATGACGAATTTCTACACGTATCTTCTTACGCAAATTACGTGTACATAGCCAAGTACACGTAAGTTAAAACTTGTAGCGTATAATTCTTTAACTGCTGTTTATTTTTCAAAAAGTGTGCGTTTTTCTGAAACCTGAATATATAATGCAAATACTGATATAAGAATTAAACGTCAGTAATTGAAAAATATTAATTTATAGGGAGTTAAAATTACAACATCTTGATTTTCGAAAAAGACTTCGACCGATTAAAAATATAAGAACTCTGTACAATTTTTATCTCATAATTACAGGCATATATTTATGTAGAATGGTGTTATACGTATCAAAATTATTGCTTTTGCGGATGATTTTTAAATGTAAACCACTTTTACATTTAAAAACTTACAAGTACAAGTACAGGTTATACTTTGCTAAACAAGAAAAAAATGTTAACGTGTACGTGTAATTCTAACTTGTAGTTTACACGTACATGTACACGTACAAGTGGGCTTGCTAAACCTCTCTATTCTAAGTACATTATTTATATCTGATAGTTTTAATTATGGTTAATAACTACATATTGAGAACGATTAGATTTTATATTTAGACTTGTCACGTGATGCGGCAGTAACGTGATTTTAGCACATTTACTTGCAGTATTAATTTCATCTATAAATTTCGCTAGTGCAAGGGCATAACCAAGATATAATTCTAAGTTTACTTTATAAATATTTTCAACGCAATTTGTAATTTCTGAAAAGTGCTGTGATCCTTTCTAAATTCTGCATTATCATTGTTAAACATCAAAAAAATTAGATGTTAGATCCGCTTGCATACTCGCTACACTACATGTAACATCTAACAACATCCCACAGAGGGTCATGTCAGAGGTCAAATTCTATCAACCGATCAAATCGTCGCCTGCAAAATCATCGTAATATTGTTGAAGCGAATAAGTCTTAGAGCAGTTCCGAATTTTACCTGTGACGTGACCCTCAATGGGATGTTGTTAGATGTTAGTGTGGCGAGTATGCGAGCGGATCTAACATCTAATTTTAATTAGATTGTGTTAAACTATGTTTGTATGACCGAATGCTGTATTTTTAGCGGCTCAACGGCATGACATATTGATATTATTAAATTATTTTCAAGATTTCGTCAGGATCGCAGCACTTTTCAGATACCTTAACACTTATAGAGCTGAATTGTAAAAACTTACTATGATCCATTGAGTACACGCCCTTGCCTCTATGCCTGCAATAGATCGATTTATCAAGACCCCCAGGTTACCCTCCGATGTGCATGCATACAAGTATACGGCAGTGTCAATTGCATACGTAATACACAGAAAATATATTAATAAAATCGTTTAATAATATTCTGTTTAATTATAGAATAAATATTTCGTTGAGAAAATATCACTTGATCTGCCTCTCACTGCATACAAACTTCGTCACATTTTACAAAATGACGTCACATTGACAAATGTATTGCGATCAGTGACCTGTTTATTACTTGTTATTTGGATTTAACTAAGGACAAAATCGTATGCTGTAGTAAGTATTGATGTAGTTTGAGGATTTCTTACAGGTTAAATTAGAAAATCACCTCATTTTGTGGTATTTAAAGAATTGTTGTAGGACTTATATTGTGTGTCATGTCATGGTAAAATTTTCCCGTATAAATTAGGTTCCGCCCCTTTTTGTAACCTTAACTGTGCTGCGTAGTTTTCTGATATGAATCCATATCACCACTCTCTGAAACTGATGACGCAGAACGCAGAGATATGACGTTTTTTTTTCTTGCACGTTTAAAAGTTCCGTGTTATTATGCTTTGTTTTATGGAAAAATATTATACAAGAAATCACTAAAGTTCTATTTTGCTTTATTTACATGTAGGTAGTTAAAAGAGGGTATATAATAAATGTATCGTTATATCAGTAACCTATTCTGAAGAGCTGTATCACGTCTAGTTGACAGGCGCGAATCATCAGATCAAACTCGATGCTTCGCGTCTTGTTAGATCTGATGATACGCACCTGTCCACTCGACGTGATACGACGCTTTGTATCAAGTTACTATTGTTATATATATAATTATTGATATTGCACTTTTCTTGCTGCTAAATACTGATATTTACGGATATTCTTACTGTTGTTTCTAGTAACTTTAGTTCTCTCTAATAAATACTGATCATTATTGTCGTCATTATTGTTGGGTATGTTAAATTACAATAAAAGTCGTTATTGTGCTTTCGATGCTGAGAATTACTGAAAATTACGAATTATTTTGAGCTAAGACTTACTGAATGAGTGTAAACTGTTTTACGTCTCTTTCAAAATTGATTATCAAACAGACGGACGGGTGGACGAACAGACAGACAGACCGTCCAAAATTAATATCCCACACCTTCAGTCAAATTGGGAAACAAATAAAATTCCGCATCTACATTCATGTATAAAACTCCATTGAGATTTTTTGAACAAATAAAATGACACTTTTTAATCTCTCTTATTTATCGCCCCTCACTACTTTGGGTGTTTTCCTGTATTGCTCACTAGTCTGATTTGTATTTACCTTGATATTGCATGTATTTTTATATGTATTTTGTAAAAGGGGGTTTTCGGAAAAGGTGGAGTAGAGAGCATCGATTAAAAGAGTTTACATCAGAAAAATACCAACAGGGACCCATAAATTCTTTAAGCAGTCGGAAAACATATTTAAAATAAGCCGTTTGATAGAGCTTAAGTGGTGCAGAAGATTTTTGTATGGAGGGGACAGTTTACAGGATGACATGCGTGAGGAAACACTGTGAAGACAATCATTCCGATTGCAGAGCTGAAAAATGAATTTCGTAACTTGACTTTGCCGTGTTTCCGTATACAAAGTCATTAACAAGGAACAGAAGTTTTACTCTTAAAAAAGAAACACAAAGTGAATATTTAGTGAATATGAAAAAAATTCTGTAAAATTATGCAATCTATTGATTTATGGGGATACTATCTAAATGTAATTATTACTTAAGATTATAAAAATCATATACAGTCCAAGTTCAGTCAAGATCAATATCTGATGTGCCAAATTTAAACGCAGACACAAATGTCCAAAAATGGCATCTAATCGAAGCAAATACTGGTATTAAAAACTGTAAAGGAAGAGTTTCCCATTAAAAATATAGAGTTTTAGTCAGCTGTTGCAGAGTCTGGGGATGGATGTGATTGTCTTTAGCAAAGCATGTCAATCTATTTGTCCAATGCTGCTAAACTGAGTTTAAATCTGGCGATTTAAATGGCTAGCGCTATATTATTGATTGTGCATATGCTACGGGTACTGGTTTATGACAATATGTTTTGAAAGATATCTTACATCTTGTGCATTATGATGAAAGCTTATCTATTCCTCCCTTGAATCTTTAAGATATTGCATGGGGGCTTTTTTTGGAATATGCAAAATTATTTGCAGAGACGTAAAAAATGTAATGGGTTCGTTTAAAAAATGTTTATTGGAAATAGACACAAATGGAGCATGTCAAGAACACTAATATTATTCATGTTACTCTTCTCGACCTGATTGTGCATTCAGCATTACTAACATGCTTAATAAAGTAAATATTTCCACTGCTGGGCATGGTCAATCAAGAAAAGAATTATCCTTTAGTTTTAATCATCAGACACGGAGGCAAAAATTTCCGTGTATACAGTTAACAACTTAATAAAGTACATGTATATTGTATTCTATACACCCTTTCTAAAACTTCTAACTTATTTTTTAATAATATATGGATGCTTGTCAAACCTAATAAATATTACACGAGAAAACCTTAAGAAAGAAAAAGATTAAGTATTTATGCCCCTGTATTATGCATCAACATCCAGACATACATGTATAACACGAAATACAGATCCATATGTTTATGAATTTCACAGTTTTTATGAGTGATCTTTACTATTAATGTCTTGCACTAACTTTGATTTCTTCATACCAATGATAAAAAGCATTTTATTTAAAAATTAAGGACTTTTTTTTACTTTATTATTAAAAGGGCCAAACATAAGTCTAAAAACCCTGACCCCAGCTCAGGAATTTCAAAAAAACTCTTTGTGTACTATATTAACGAAAAAGCGACTTAGGTCCTTAGGTCAGGGAGTAAAGAATTACCTTTTCCTGCATTTGGCCCTGTTGTTGATTTGAGATGGGGGTGGTTTGGGACGGAGTTAACCGGTAGGATGGGATGTTCCATTTCCATAAAAATAACTATTTTCCTCTTTTTTTCTATAAAACCCTTTACAAAAACTAGTTACAATTAGTTGAGCAAAAGACGATGAAGTCTATAAAATTTTATATATGACTATTCAAAAAATTGTACATATTCAAGTTATATTATACATATTCAAGCAATATGCCTTATTAATACTTCACAAATTTAATCTGCGTTCATATCACATGTATTGCTATGGTTTTACGTTTTAAAAAGATTCAATTTCCAATACTTTGTCAATTTTTCTATGTCAATTTCATGAACATCTCTAAGTCGATGATGAGGACAAATTTTACATTCCATATCTGCTGGATCAATTTTAGATAAGAAATAGCCAAGGATCTCTGATGAAACAGTCTTTTCTTCGTCCTCTTTGCACCTAATACCTTTTTCATACTGCACGCGTTGGTGAAATGTCTGTGTTATTGCGGCAAGTTTATCTTCAACAGTGTTAAGAATCTTATATGTCTTTTCTATCTCCAAGGAAATTCCAGGCACAGCGCATAATACTTGGAGTTGAATAGAGTCTATTGTCACAGACATAACGATATTATAGTTTCCTGCATAGAACAAAGCTGCGTTTTTGTATAAACATGGTATTTCTTCAATTTGGAGAACTTTCCAATTTTCTTCCTGCATACATGCAACAACAAGACGAAAGAAGAAGAAGAATGGCAAGAATTTGAATTTAAAGATAAGAATAGATGTCCTGTTTTTTGAGGCTAGGATAAGCTCTGAAATTTCTTTTTCTACATCCTTCCGGTTCATGCAAGGTATGTAATGATATTCTTCTCCAACTGCCACCAGACCTAGTCGCTGCATGTACAGGAGAAGCAATTCTTTATGAAAGGATATAAAACGAGCGTCTTCCGCCTTAGACGTTGATTGGCTTTTATCTAATGCTAGTTCTTCGCATATTTCTTGGTCCCTATGCTCCCAGATACCTAACAGCAATTTGTCGTGCAAACGTCCAGTAAGGGAGAATTCATCCAAGTCTTTTTTATCAGCTGGAATACCCTCTAGATTTAAATTGTCTGTGATTATTATCTTGAACGCATCAATAAACCACTGGACATCCAGGATAACATTGTCTTTGAGGTGATTTTCATTAAAATACAAAATTTTACCAGTGTCGTGATAAAATCGTAACATATCTCGTTTCATTCCACTTGTTTTCTTCTCTTTCTCCTCATCGTTGGCATCAACAGGGACTGTTTTTATCTCCGAAATTTTTATAACTCTTTTTGCATATTTCTTCTGCTTCAGTTCTAGTCCGAAAAAGGCCCATTCTTTTGGAATATTTTCTTTCCATCGTTCCTGACGGGCAATGGAGGCAATACGTTTTTCTAATTCAGTAATTGGTTGAATAGGAAAATTAATGCAATAACAGTTTTTCTTTTCAATGTATTGTGCTAAACTTGACCCCTGTGGTAACTGTTTTTGGAGGCAACACAGAAAATCTTCTTTAGTCTGCAATTATACATTTTCATCATTTTATTTATTTAGCGAAGGCATGTTAAAGCGTCAACTAAATATTTTGTATCAAAAAATCAGAGTGATTTAAGAAGGAATTATATGTCAGAAAAAAATCTTAATATTTGTATTTTTAGTTAATAGGAATTTCATGTACATATTTTTTTGGATTTACTAGCATTTAGAATCTAAATTACTTTTAAAGATACTATATCTTCATTCATTGTGTTCCTTTGTACATTAAATCAGTTTTATGTATGTGCGATAGATTGACCTTGAACTTTCTTTTTTCCTCTTCCCAGTGTGTTGCAACGATGAGCACAATAGGTTTCTCCCCTTCTTTGTTTTCCGTAGCACAATAGGTGTGTATAGACTTCATCCAGAAAACGAAGTAATCTAAGATATATGGAAAATTTGAGAAATACACTTATAGCTTTGTAACTGATAAGGACACACGATCAAAAGATACACGTCTTTCAAATGATAAAATTATGGAATTGTGTATGGTTTTCTTGTACTTTTCTATTCTTGGTAAAATAAAACCGACATAATCGTAGCTTTAGTTAGAAAAGATTTTTCGCAGTATCTGAACTAAACTGCTACCCTTTAAAGTATTAAAGTAATACATAAAAAATAGAAAATTGACTGCCAAAAATTGACATTCGTCTGAATTATTCAGCGATTATATTGCACTGATTACTGTGTCTCAAATTATCAGTGATAAAAAATTCAAGGGTTTGAATCGGATCAGAAATAATATTCTTATTTGATAATTTGACTGACATAGTTTAAATGAGATAAAAAATATATTTAAAAACTGATTAGAATAGAGCTGTTTGTCATGTCGTAATATTGGTGATATGAGAATTACATGTAGTGCATTTATATATATTTAAATATAATTTTTTTGTGCGAGTGCGTCTTTTTAGCGTCATTCTTTTGTTCTTTTGTTAACTTAAAATGATTTTTTTAATACCTCCAAATGTCCATCCACCAAAAACACCATCATCTTGCTTACAAACTGTCTCGCTAACCCTTTGATGTAACTCTTGAGAAGCATCAACTACCACGATGTAGAAAGCCCTCCTAGTCAAGTAAATCTGATGACACGCGTAGTAAACACTTTGTCCTCCAAAATCAAAAACACTCAGTCGTTCGGCGTTTAACTCCCCTTCGAAATCCCTGCTTTCCCTATCTGGTTTGATTTCTGTTTCTGTAGAAATGAATGTAATTTTCAATCTATTGTAAATACAAACATAGATAAACACACTAACACCCTAAAATATATAATTTTAACAATATGGTTTAAGCCATAAAATATAAAAGTTATAATTAAAACATTCTTTTCTAACTCTTTTGTTTTAAAAGTCATTCATAATGACAAAATGAATTTAAAGGTTTAAAGGTTTGATTTACATGTTACAAATAGGAAGTTTGGTAGAAACTAAAAAAATCATAACTTCCGATTTATTAATGAAAGTCAACGTAAGCCATTCAATTAAAAAATCTATGCATTTCTTACCTTTCAAAGTTTCATCCGAAATCTCAAATATTTCTTCATGAACTTCAAGACCTAGTGTTGTTTCAACATTATAAATGTCCTCTGCACTACATTTGAGAAGTCTTTTCAGTAGTGTAGTCTTTCCGGCTCCTGCACATCCTACAAGCATGGCCCTTGATTGATGTACAATTTGTGTTCCTTTCTTGGCGTATTCAACGTAGCGATCTCTGGCCCTTTGATCCCAATTCAATATTTCTAAAGGTACCTTCACTACAGAAACATATAACACAATTATTTACAATAAGTTTAAAAAGTTGTTTAATCTGTTTAATGAAATACATTGTACAGCAGATTTGTTTTCTTTAGTTGTGAAAAGAATTCAAACATACACATATTAATCGTTTTGGTAGCCTCGTCGGAAGTAAGTTATGGCATTTTTAATTAAAGAATCACGATTATTAAATAAAGAATGTTGAAAAGCATTTTCAATGATTTCTGAATTAAAAGTATTAAGAAGATTAATCTTTTTTGAATGAGACATACTTACATTTTTCAGTGACACTATTTCGAATAGTCCAATCGGATAATGTACAATGCTTGATGATATCCAGATCAAGTCTTTCTATGAAGAGATCATACATTTCCACTGGTTTGTTTGGCACATACAAACATCTCTCTCCGTCCTTTCTTTCATAATTCCAAGACCTGCAGTATTCAAATAGTACTTGCTTTGATGCTTCTTTCAGGAAAAACTCCAAATTAACGTCGTCCATTAAACACTCTGTTACAAACGCGTACATGACCTTATGACGGATGTCGGCCGAGGCAAAAGTTATTTCACCGCTCTGGCTTTTAGCGATTCCTTCTGGTAAATTTAATTCTTCATCAGAAATTGGAAGTGTAGGCAAGAAATTGTCTCTTATTTTCAGCATAATCTTTTTGTATGCGCCATCATTAAGACTGAGTTTGCTTTTTTCGGCAAACAGTAAGCTGTATAACAAGCATCTGACATTCGGAGGGAATTCATGATATTCACCTACAAACATCCATATACAGTATCTGATAAGGTGTGTAGATTTAAAGATTAAAGTATGATTATGCACAAATATGCAACCGATTAAATAACCATCCTTAAGTTATAAAATAGTGAATCCTCATAAAATATTATTAATTATACTTGCAGTCTATTGAAAAATACTAGTACCTGGAAACGACTTAGAGTTATCACAAAAATTAGATGAATCATTTATTTATTCTAACGGAAAAAAAATGTTGAATTATACATAGATTTAATTTAATGAAACAAACATCTGTAATATAACAAATAAATGTTTTTAAAAAATCCAACCATACCACCGGAGAACGCTTGTAATGAATTATCGCTTATGATTTTAAATCCCAGTGTTTTGAAATCGTACTGTTGTCATAACAGATCTAGATATTGTGTATATAATGATAAATAACTCTTATTTCTTATCAAAATTCCAGGTCCCTGGCTTTTCTCTAAAAGCGTGTTTTTCTTCATATAATTCAGAGTATACTTACTATGCTTTCTATACGCTTTATGGTTGATAATATATATATCCGAATGAGGATAAAGTCCTATGCATGATCTAACAACCTCGTGTCTTTGGAATTTCCAAAGCCATTTGACATGTTGAGATTCGCCATTTGTTTTAACTTTGTTAGGTATTTCTTCTCCATTTTGCTGCAGATTCCTTAAAAATTCCTCCCGCTTGTCAATACTTTCTGTGATGATATTTTCTGGGATGTGTACTGGTGAACAATTAAAAGATATTCTTATTCATCCTCACAACATAAACACTTAAACTGATTTTTGTATCTGCTACATTTTTTCTTGAACAGTCACAATTCTTATTTAAAAAGAACAAATAATTTTGCAAATGCATGCAAAAATTCTTATATCTAATAAATATATCATTTTGTGATTAATATTTTAAAGAATGCATAGACTTACAAATCTGAGATATCTGCTTGCTCATTGAGGTGCCCTCAATACTCTTATGAACCAGTATGTCCATCATTAGGCGATGTATAAGTAGGGAATCAAAGTGTGTGCTCTTGTTAATTATGCACTTCTCTCCAGGTTCACTCACGTAGTTGCTTAACCTTAGGTACTGGCGGCTTGTAACACAATTGCTCATGTAAAATGTCAAAAATCTGCTGTATTTGGATAACTGAAATATTGTTTCGTCTGCAGCATTCTTTGTTATGGTTTGAAAGTCTTTTTCAAACAAACGAGACTCTGTTCTTTTCAAATATTTAAGGTTTTCCTGTGCATTTTCACTACTGATGGGATCCAAATCAGCAAATGCCATACGTCGTACTTCATTAAGAATTTCCAGCCATTCAGACTTAGAGAAGTCGGGGGAATCAGACTCGGAACATAAGAAGCAAAATAGAATATATAGCCGGTCGCATCCTATTGTTGAAAATGTATCTAAAGAAGGAATAAGATTTTGATTTGCGAGTGAGAAAACTCAGTACCATATGTAAATTTGTAGTTTAATTTATAAGCTTAGAAATCCTTTTAAAAAACAATTAAGATTTGGATGCAGAGTACTGGTCCCCCTCCCTTTTTTAAAGAATAATTTCAAAGTTTCAATGCTTTCTTTTGTCTGAAAATAACATTCTGATAATCTGAAAAATTAAGTAAAATAACATAAACCTTTTTATAGTGCTCTCTACACTTTACTTGAAATACAAATATGTAATATATATATAAAAAAAGATAAGATAGATCAGCCTACAGTAATTTTAATGAACTCGAATGTTTTTTTAATAATATCGTTTTTATAGAGCTTACATGTACCTGAAACAGTCGTTTTCCAATCCCTATAATCCCCAACAAAACGTTTCAGGAAAACTGTAGAAGAGAAAAATAAAATTTAAGTATATCGATTACAACGTTCCAAACATTAACAACATTTTTTATCATCTCAATAACAGCATTGAGAAAAAAATCAAAGTATTGAAAGAACTGAAAGCCGGGCTTTAATTGCTCGAATATATTGTCTTATCTGAAATTAATACATTTTTTTTCCTTTGGCCATTGATTTATAACAGGTAGAGTTTGTATGATTATGATTTAAAACAATATCCCATATACCAGTAATCAAGATTAACAGTCCAGACTCCAATATATGTTATGATTTTATAATTTTAATTTATAATATTTCCAGGAAATTCATATTTTCTATTCTATTTTTCATAATTCAAAAATTCAGTCTTCAAATAGTTAAAATAATGCTCATGTTTATATTATACACATTATTTTTGTTTCAAAGATACAGTAATTTTATCGCAAACTACATGTAGAAACACTGATATGATACATGTATACATGTATTGTCAAGCGACTTCACACATGTTAATTCTTAAAATTCCAATTCACTATTAATTTGCTAAAAATCAAAACAGAATATAACCACTAACATGACGAATGTGAAAACGATATAAAACTCTTCAACGATTTCAGTATTTGGAAAAGATCGTGCTATTGAAAATAGTTCGCTTACAATATGCAGTCAGCAGCGTATGTGCACAAATTGTTATATCATGATTATCCTAATAAAGCAAATATTTAATTTCCCTTTCATTTTAATTTTCAAGTAAAATTATGGATCATAATTCATTAACCTTTCCAACGATTGGGATGTTAAAAATATCGGCTAGCAGTGGGACTATTTTGTTTATCGGAAGCGTCTGCTTTGACGCTGTTTGGTTTTTTGTTTACTGTGCTATTTATAGTAAGCCAGTCGATCATGATGCCTATTGCCAGGACTTTATCAAGATTAGCAGCAAAGTCCGGCTAAAAATAAGCAATATTACCTTAAGTAATAAAAGTAGTTAATACTAGGCTATTTTACTTTGTAAATAAAAATTTTAACGTCCTTTCAGATCAGAGTAAATCAAAAATTAATTGCTTATTACTTTAGAATATAGATTTTAATTTTTACTCAATATTTTTTTTTAATTTCTTTTTTACAAATTCATTTATGAAAACGAACTACATGTATATTGCTATTTGTGAAATAATGGAAATTGTAAATTGGATATTGAGTTGTACTTGAAACGTCTCCTTGTGAAAATACGTTTTATTCGTTTTCCAAATCATTTATGCTGATCAAAATTAAAAAGGACTGTAAATGTTGAAATTTTTCAAACACTTAACAAAGTATTTGTAAAGAAGAAATAAATACATATGTCTGTTGCACTAGCCTATATACACGTTGTGACAGTTTTTAGAAAATGTTTTAAGGTATTTTTAGACACTAACCAGTCACCCACGGTCACATGACTGCACATTTCATTCACTAAAATCGACTATATTTTAAAAATGAAACACACCGTTAACTAAGTTATTAAATAGTTGAAATATCAAGCTTTTTACTCTAATGCCAAAAAGAGCTGAAACAATTAAAAAATGAAGCTTATTTATCCTATATTATATGATATAGCATAACTTAAGGCAGTTTTGCATTATCAACCGAGAAACTGTTTATACAAAAGCGTAAACCTACCGCTTCAAGTAATGTTATATTGTAAAATTAAAGAAACATATGGAGTTAACGAACAATATTCAGGATGAAAAGTCCATAAAACAAAATAAAAGCAGAGCAAACACGGACATCAAAACATCAAAGGTTGGATCAGGTGCCATGGAGAAGTAAGCATCCCCTGTCGACCGGTCACATCCTCCGTGCACTGTGCTTCATTTCATGACCGGGAAATAACGGAAAAATCCATCGCCATTTTAATGTTTAAATAATGGACTAACAATAAGTATAAAAATCATCCATCAACATTTGACAGTGATAAATTTTATCGCTGACAAGGTTATTGTATCGACCATAGAACTTACGAAATGATAACTTAAGTGAGACTGCTGATATTCTGTTACATCCAATAAATTTGCATAAGTACGGTAAAGTTGACGGTTATAATGTTGAAATAATCACTTTTATCATAGATCTTGGTTGTTAAATTGCAATTAACGTCTTTTTCAAGTAAAAATTCCAAATATAAAACAGGTGTGTCGAACTCGGTAGTGTCTTTTATCTCAAGCTCACCGGGATATATATATCGTATCGAAATAAGAATGGAAATTGCAATTGTTATTTGACAATAGGTCTCCTATATACTTAAATGTTATCAAATGTTATCTTCTATATTTAACATACATTACATGTACAATATGCATAATTTCTCAAAATTTTATTTAAGTGTATACAATCAGACAATTTTACCTCCAAATACTGTTTCGAATTGAATATTTTAAAAGTAACGTTAAGGTTGAGGTTGAAAAAATGCAACAAAAATGTTTTTTAAAGTAGTGAATATATTTTCAAAAGTAAAATCGGTATAAGAATTATATGTAAAGGTAAAAGTTTATTCACAGTCCATAATCACTATGAGAGTTACGGCGAATAAACAATTTTCAATACAATTTCTTTTTGGATTAATCATGAAGACTGGTTTGAACGATTTCTTTATTGATATTTGTATATTTATGGTTATAATAAATATACTTATATCAAATTACATTAATTTCTGCAGGACGTGAAGGAGAATCGAATATAAATATTTTTTTGT